AATCTGTTTGTATAATGAATATAGACTGGCGCGCGCGTGCGCGCGTGTGGGTGTCTGTGTGTGTGTGTGTGTGTGTGTGTGTGTGTGTGTGTGTGTGTCTCTCTGTGTGTGTGTGTGTGTGTGTGTGTGTGTGTGTCTGGTTCTTTGTACGTTTGTCTATCATTTAGAGTCTGTACTCACCCACTAGTAGCTTTAGCATATGCATGCAGGATCACCTGCCAGTTGTTTGTTACCATGACATCCCACAGCAGCACAATGGAAGCCTAGAAGTGCAAATGCAAATTGAAAGACCATTGCACTCCCAGTTTAATAATTGCTATGATTTTGCATTCAATCTTATTGACTGCATGCTCTCTCAAAACAGGCGAGCTATATCAAAAATGCCTATACAGACATGACTTGCTGCGGACGAAGTCTTTTAGTTAGGCTGTGTCACACATTTAACTTTTAAGCATAGAACTCACAGCAAAATCATTAAAGTTGTTCGCCCAGTAGCCGAGTTGCTCGTATGTGCCACACTCATAACTGAGGGTTGTGGCATTGGTACTGGCATCGTAGGTAATGACATCCCTAAACAGCTCCATACCTAGTATCGCAAACGAGTAGTACGCTACCTGCAAAGTCAACAAGAATAACACTACCTGCAAAGTCAACAAGAATAACACTACCTGCAAAGTCAACAAGGATTACACTACCAGCGATGTCAACAAGATTTACACCTACCAGCGATGTCAACAAAGGCGATATACACTACCAGCGATGTCAACAAGGTCATCTACAACTTACCAGCGATGTCAACAAGGATTTACACTACCAGCGATGTCAACTAAGCGATCTACACTACAGCGCATGTCAACAAGCGATTACACTACCAGCGATTTCAACAAGGATCTACACTACACATGCGCATGTCAACAAGCGATTACACTACCAGCCGGATTTCAACAAGGATTACACTACCAGCGAATGTCAAACAGGATCTACACGTACCTGCAAAGTCAACAAGGATCTTACACTACCAAGCGATGTCAACAAGGATTACACTACAGCTGACTGTCATACAAGGATTACACTACCAGCGATGTCAACAATTGGATTACACTACCAGCGATGTCAACAAGGATTACACTACCAGCGCCATGTCAACAAGGATTACACTACAGCGATGTCAACAATGCGATTACACTTACCAGCGATGTCAAAAAAGATTTACACTACCTAGCGATGCAACAAGCGATTACACTACACAGCGATGTCAACAGGATTACACTACCAGCGATTCAACAAGGATTACACTACCAGCGATGTCAACAAGGATTACACTACCAGCGATGTCAACAAGGATTACACTACCAGCGATGTCAACAAGGATTACACTACCAGCGATGTCAACAAACATCGCCCTATACCGGCAACATGAGCAACTTGAGTAGTAATTACCAGGTATTCAGGAAATTATTTATCATAAGTTATACATCGATAGTCATCGTCACTGTCCAAATCCTTGAGATAGAATGTTAAAACGTGTTATAAAAACAGCCACATTCTCGGTGTTCATTTTAACATTAGATTTTCTTTAATTAATTCACTGAAGTATAAGGAGCTTTGCAGTAACTTCATGAAAATAAAATAGAACAATGTTTTCCTATTTTCTCCAGCTGTGCACTGATGACTTTACAAATGTGTGACCCATGCAGGCATGTGTCATATTATTAACAACGAATATAGGGGCTGGGGCAATATCTCCATAATAAGCATAGAAGTTCATTAAAAACAATCCACTTTCAACTCATGCTGTCATGCATGCATATACTAGTGTGCAATGCATATGTGCACAACACTATATAATGATTATGACTCACCACTAAAACACCAGCAAATGGCCTGAGGTTGTGGATAAGATTGAATAGCGTGCCCACCACCAGAGACATTGTCTGAAAAGGAAATCATATAAATAAACTACCAAGAACAAATTGTGTTTGCTGGAAAAATCATCGAAATTACACCAGTATGCATACGTTAACTGATTTACGGCAATTATAAGCACAAAGAAATAAGCAATTCATATTATCCTATTTATTAATCGTTTTAACCCCTCTCACCACACATGCACACTTGTCACTTCTGTATATTCCTATGAACAACCAAATAATTACTAGCTAGCAGCCATGGTATTAACTGCCAGACATGTTGTTAGAGGTGGAAATGGTTATTTTTGTGAGGTGGGATTAAACCATTTCAATTATCTGGGAACCGGAAATAACTTTAATTGGGGATAAAAATCAACAGAGACGCTGGTAATCCGAAACGCTGATTTTAGTCAACCTGGAACCGAGGACGACATAACATTTTTCACATGGGAAACTGGGAATGGACTACCCACTTCTCGTTACCTTGATATGAGGGATAACACGAAGGAGGCGGCAGATGATGATCATGTTGACGATGCGCACAAGGTCCCACAGTGTGATGCTGAGACCATGTCTGTGGTGGACGCTATAAGAACCACATGCAATCACTCGCAGTGTCATATTGGGACTATGCTGAAGCTCTTTATAATCCGCACACTAATACGTACATACAAAGTCCCACAATGCGCCACAGACTGTCTGTGGATGGGCGGGGGTGTCTGTAAGTGCCATACATAATCTCCCCATTAGCGATTATAGTATACCACGTGGTGCTTCTAATTAAACTTATAAAAGCAAAAACATTTCAACTGGTAACAATGCTAGCTACATTACCTTCCCTCGTTGTAAAATGGAAGACCGTACATAGCCAGATCGTAGATTTCAATTATCTTGAAAAAAGCAAATTTCCTAATTCATATACGAAAACTTCCTGATTACTTTTCACCAATATGCAAGTTATTTGGCTAAGCTATTATATTACGTATTATTTATACTGCCAATTATGTATTGTATTATATATATTTCAATGAATATATATAATATATAATAACACTGTATGGCATGTAGTACTCATTTATCAGGCAGAAACTTTGTACAGAACTGCTCACCACAAGTAATGCTGTTACTGCCAGGTCAAAGACATTTTTACGCTCATAGCAGTAGTGACGCCATCCAATGAGGGTCAACTTCAACAGTTGCTCTAGTAGGTAATAGAGTATGAAGATCAAGTTGAGAGTGGCCAGCAGTGAGTTGCTTGAGCTGAGTGTATCGTACTTGGTAGCCAGTTCAACCTGTATAACAACACAGCCATGACTGCGTATATTGTACTTAATTTGTAGCTAGTTCAACGTGTATAGGGGTTGTATATATATATATATATATATATATATTTGAACATCTCTGCACTTACCATCACTGCGACTACAGTCAGACCTGTTTATAAGGGTCACTAAACGCCAAAGGGAAGTGCCAAAAGTGTTCTTTAAGAACAGGCTTTAATGTGCTATGACTAATGTCTCCATAAATCATTATTAACCTTAAATTTACCACCGAATAATGTAAATGTTATCAAGATGCCGAACTTTGACTTACGGTTATGCAGACAACGTTGGCAAAGGCCACCATTAATCCAAAGTAGGTGAAGTAGTCATGGGCAACAAGCTGCTGCAGCTTGCACAGCGAGGGATTCATGAAGAGCTTCATCGATGGTTTAGGCTTCAATAGAATAGAGGGCTGACGTTACACGCACCGTCATTACTGTAGTAGAGTTGCTATTGTTACCGTTTCAACCACAGAAATGTATACTGTTACAAATCTTCTCTTCTTAGTTCCTTCTCTCCTCGTGGAGAATAGGGCTGGATACTGTTACAGATACTATTTAGTAGTGGTGTTCCGATTAATCGAGTTCGTTGAGCATTACTCGTTTGGGCTGCTGAGTTAAAAATCGAGTAGAAAATCGGACGACCGAGTACAACTCGGACTTTCTTTTCTTTCTTTTTCCAAGATTTGACACAAGTAGATACATTTAATTACACATATACTAGTAAACACGGTGCGGTGTAAATTTTCAAGGAACTAAGGGACTTTGTTTCCTGAAAGTCAAGCCTAATCCTAAATTTTCCTACATCTTTTTTAACTTATTTACTAAATTAAAGCATTTAAAAACAATTCCAGGGACGTTTTGTAAAACTGATAATCGATCATGAAATTTGGACCGATCTCCAACACTACTATTTAGTATATTATTTCTATGGTTAGTACATAAGTTGAGCAAAACCTGCTGCAGCTAGCAAGACCAGGTTCTCAACAATAGTGAGGGTCTGAACAAGGATGTGGATGCTACAGTGAGTATGAGCTAGGCCTAAACATAATGATATTAATCTAATAATAATCGATTATCATAATCTCATATTACTATTACAAGAGGCAGCATGCAGGTTATTGATTTCTGCAATATGATTCGTTTTTATATTCTAATCACATTCTTTTCACGTTCCAATTATATTCCTAGGAAAAAGTCTATACTTAGTGTGTAATTATGGTATTTCATACGAATGAATTGCTAGTCATAATCCACCATTAATTATGGATTGATGCAATCAATTGATTGAAATAATTCTGGGGATTTTAAGACACATGAAGATATATACAATATGCCACCCAAGCTGCACAATTCGAAATACACTTAACTGCGATCACAACACATCCAACTTTTTGCAATAAAAAATTCAAATGATTAAAGAAACCAGACACGATGTAATTTTGCACATGAAACTAACCGGTCGTTCTCGCTCAGCACTGTAAAAAACGTTGAAGAACTCTTGGAAATTTGACATGTCAACTGACTCATCATCATCCACTCTATCCAGTTCCTGCAACAGTTAATGTCATCACCGATCAGAAATACTAACGGTGACATTATTACTGCACCATGTAAAGAGGTGTAACTATACTTGATCACAATCTATCACTCACTGCTAGTAAATGACCTATCCGACTAGTGTGACTCACGGGCAGGTTTACCCAATCAGTGCTGCAATAGGATGTCCGTAAGGCAATGCTTAGTAACAAAGTGTCGCTAAATTAATACTGGCATGCATATATGTGAAATCAAGTACAAAATGGAAGAGCTTGAAAAACCCAGCAAAAACTTCCAAGAGACAGGTGGTTATATAGCTCAGGTAGGTATGTCAATTACACATGGCTTATGCAGGGACTCCTACAATGCTGGAAATATACTTAAACTCTATCACTAAAATTTTAGAAGCCAAAAAAAGAAACTGCCAATGTATTAGTTTTATTGACAAGCGAATCAACCAAGCAATAAATTTTGGGTGTAGTACAAATACAACTGTACATTGAATAGATATGTACAGATATAATAGATATGTATATTGTAGTGATATGTGCTCCTTTAACTCACCACTAGCATTTTGTCCTTTAGTATCGTCTTCAACCAAGATTCCTCTATGACACGCCTCACTAGTTGCTTGGATATGAAGCCCCTATCAACACATAACAAATGTACATGTATAGAACATAATACAACATAGTTATGACGGAAGTCTGAAATATAAATTTGTATACATGTACTGTTGTGTAAAACATTTTATATTCATGATGCCATAACTATTTATTGCGTTTCTGACAGTTGTCGCCATGTATCTAACTCTGTGGCTGTGAACTTACAGCAACTACAGAAACTACCGTTCTAGCTTCACGAGTTCTCACATTTCAGTTGGCAGTCTGGTAAACCTACCTATCAGCCTGTAAGCTGTGAGGTACATCAATCCTGAGAAGAACATCAAAGGCAGCCCTGACTCCCAACCTTCTCCGGAACAAGCTGGTTTCCATAGATTTCTGATAACAAATAAATTAGAATTAGAGACTGGCATCACCTGTGAGTCAGTTATTCATCTAGTGAACTCACTAGATTCTACTCCAGTGATTATACCTGATCACGAGGTAGTCATAAAGCAATATAACTCACCACCAGATAGCCATGAAGAAATATAACTCACCACCAGGTGGTGCTCACTCAATGTGACTTATCACCAATTAGTGTCCACCAAATATAACTCACCACCAGGTAGCGTGCGCCTAATATAACTCACCACCAGGTAGTGCTGACCCAATATAACTCACCACCAGGTAGCGCTCACCCAATATAACTCACGATCACCACCAGGTACCGCTCAACCAATATAACTCACCACCAGCTAGTGCTCACCAATATAACTCAGCCACAGCGTAGCCGCTCCCATATTAACTCACCACCCAGGTAGCGCTCACCCAATATAAACTCACCAACCAGGTTAGCGCTACCCAATATTAATCACCACACGACGGCTACGCTCACCCACATATAACTCAACCACCAGGGTAGCGCTCACGCAAATATAAACTCACCACCAGCTATAGCGGGCTCACCCAATATAAAGTCACACCAGGTTTAGCGCTCACCAATATAACTCACACACCACCCCGGGGTAGCCGCTCACCAACGATAACTCACGACACCACCGGGCCCGGTAGCGCCTCACCCAATATAACTCACCACCAGTAGTGTCCCTAATATAACTCACCACCAGCTTAGCCTCACCCAATTAATAAAACTCACCAACCAGCTAGCGCGCTCACCCCAATATAACCACATAGGTAGGCCGCCTCACCAATATAACTCACCACTAGGTAGCGCTTCACCCCAATATAACTCACCACCAGGTAGCGCTCACGCAATATAACTCTCCACCAGCTAGCACTTACTCAATATATCTTTCCACCAGGTAGCGCTCACCCAATATAACTCTCCACCAGGTAGCGCTCTCCTAACATAACTCACCACCAGGTAGTGTTCACCCAATATAACTCACTATCAGATGGTGCTGATCTGACATAACTTACCACAAGATAACCCCTGAACTGGTTGTATATGACAGCTGTGAGCATATTCATGAAGCAATGGAGTCCTACGAAGAGGAAAACAATGAAGTACAGCACGTAGAATCGGTTGTACTGGTAGGCAGGCATCATCACTGAAAGACAGAAGTAACACTAATATAGTAACGATAGCGCATTGTCACAGAAAGTACTAGTGTTTTAGCTAAATACTCCACATTCCACATTTCATCATAGAACAACTGTGGAGCCACATGCAGTAACAATTATGTGGAGAATGGGTAGGGCATATAAACAACAGCATTAAACACTGACATGTACTTATATGATACAAAATAAAATTATACACTGCAGTTATGTGTATAGCAAATCTGCCTTATTATACTCCTCCTCTCTATTATGATGATTCTCATGCACTTACAAAAGAATTTTTAACTAAAATTCATCAACTAATAGAACATGAGGCTTAATAATATAATATTAGTAGTAAAATATAGAGTAAGATAAATCAGAACATGAGGCTCAGTCGCCATACCATCCGGGTTATTTGCCGTGGTGAGCAAAATGAGTAAATTCATGAAGGAATCACTGAGGGTAGAGAAGTAGACGTTTCCTTCATCATTAACACGGGATTCATTGACGAGGGCTGTCGAATTCCCCTGCAAGCAACAAACGCATACATGATATAATAATATACAAATGTATATTATACTTACATACAAACATATAATGTATATACTATATAACACTAAAACGTGCAAGCAGTGGAAATTTTACTGTTTTAAGCACAAAGAGAAAAACGTACGATTTAAAAAAATTGCCATTTTTTCAAACAATTAATTTCGTTTCACTGTATAATGCACAGCTTGACGAAATACAACGAATTAACTTGGAACCAATGGTAAATATTCACTAATGACGAATAAGCTATACATTATAACAGTAGCCTGGCTACTTATATCATGCTCTGTTTTAAATTTTTCCTGAAACTGGGATTTATTCTAGGTCACCTGTTACATTTTACCTGTTGTTGGGGAAACAGCAACATTCCAAACATGGTAAACAAGTAGAGATGCAAACAGAGCAGCAGCAGCACGCTGAAATGATGAGTAAGCATGAGCAGTTGTTGCAATAACGAAGGAAGGTCACACTTTCAACAGATATGTCACTAAGAATAAATAGACCAGTGAATTTCCCAAGTGCATTTTAACCAGTAGATTTTACTCTTATTTTGTGAAAAAATAATAAAATTGGGGGTATTGTGTAGGGCACTTGACGTTTTCAGAAGTAATTAAGGTACCTAAACTATACATTAAAGGCATAATAGGTTTATTGATTATGCAATGTTAACGAATGCTAGAGTAACTGGCACCTTGTGTAGTTAATAAGTACATTACCTTATAGCCAAACGCGTATCACTGCTGGTTACTAAGAAATGTCTAATTGAAATCCGCAGTCCAAGAAATCAGTTGTACAGTTTCAAACCGCTGCCGGCCGAAGCGGGTGTGATACAGATTTATAGTGCACCGGACATTTTCGCACGCATGCTTGGCCGTACCTAATGCTAGCGATAGTACAGTACCGTAACTGTATACGTAACAGTAGCTGTGATTGTAATGAGCGTGGAATCCACGTACGAATCATGGACGCTGGTGATAATGAAGTAGGCTGTGTTGGGGGCCAACACTATGGGGGGATCGCGGACTAACCAAGGCCACAGACTAAACATGGAAAGCAGACAGCACTACAATTATTTACCTATATTGGTCAAACGAATACACCTGTGTCCGAAATTGAAGACATGTGGGTACCCGTTCATTAGCACCCATGGTTTATTTACTTGTGCCTCAATACTGAGAATACACCCAGAGATACATTCTATGAGCTCATTAGTCTTTATAAGCATCCCAGGACAAACAATTCTCTGCTCACACCCATAGCAACATGTGTCGTCACCTAACCATTTCGAGGCTAAATTAGTTGGCAAACAATTTAGCATTGGTGCCAGATTACCAGATTTACGGATTTCAATTACACATTTCTTAGTAATTAGCAGTGATATTGGACAAACTAATACGCGTTTGGCTACAAGGTAATGTACTTATTAACTACACAAGGTGCCGGTTCAGTTTCCACACTAATAAGTTATACCTCTCAAGTTACACCCACCTTTTACACCCCACCTTACCCTCACTTTTATTTGATTATCTCCACAACCACATAATTAATAATATGGAAAAAAATCAAGAAAAAGAAGAAGAGGAAGAGGAATAGGAATAAGAAGATGAAGCATTAGAAGAAGGTGAAGAAGAAGATCGAGAAGCAAGAGACGAAAAAAAAAAAAAAAGGAAAAGAATGAAGAAGAAAAAGAAGAAGATGAAGAGTTGGAGGAGGAGAAAGAGAAGGGGAGGAGGAGAAAGAGAAGGGGAGGTGGTGGAAGAGAAAGGAGAAAAGAATAATAAAAAAGATAACTGCTCGATGAGTACAACTTAATTCACAGCTGTGTACACATAGTGCGTGAGAGCGTGAATAATAGTGCGATGTCCGCATAGCTGCTGCAACAGTACCTGCCTATCTCAGGAAGTGTGCGAGTTATGCAGTTAATTGTCTTTTTCATCACAGACGAAGATTGCAAGAGGAAGAATGGCCTCAGAATTCTTCTTATTCTCAACATCTGCAATTATAATTCAAGCATGACTTAGCGTGTATAATATATTTTTTCCCATATATATATGACTGCTTTGTACCCATCTAGTGACTGCTGGTTGGCATAACATACGATATAGTAAAATAAACATATGAACTCTCTCAGTATGGCACAGATGTACAATATATATGTGTATCTGTATGTGTGTGCGTGTGTGCACGTGTGTTATACCTAATTGCTAATTACCAAGTAATAATTAAGCATAGAGACATTGTTGAAATTACACACAAGAGCAAAGACATAGGCCTATTCCTATTCTCATTCACAAGTGTAGCACTTTATTATATCAGCCATTACTTTTCAAGCACTATAACCATGTCTTCTTATACTTACATCTGAGCACGAATATAAAAGTGACAAGTTGCAATCAATGATTGATATAGCAACAACAGCACTATACACCAGTAGCCACTTGTTCCTCTTCACTTGCTTTGTCCCAATCAGGTATCCCTGCAGTAAACGTTCAAAATGCTTGCACAAATATCCTCTTTTGAATGTTTCTGATTTACTCAAATACAAGTTCATGCATGTGTACACAAATAATGAGTGTTGGAAGAGGTTTGTAGCGATGTCAGTATGCCATGAGATTAAATTCCCTTAGGAGGACATGCAAAGACTAATGAAGCTAGTGAGCTTTCTGATAATTCTCTGCCTGTTCTGCTAAACTACGTCACATTCAAATACAAAGTAAACATACACTGAGTTACGTGCGTGAGTTAATCTGGATTTCACAGTCACCAATTAAACTAATCCGCAACGTTAACTTTCACTTCTAATGCAGCTGTGTTCAGGTCCGAGTGATCCCGGTTTCGTTTCGTTTAGTTTAGTTAAGTTTCACTCCACCGAAGATGTAAATACCGAATATTAACGAAGCAGAGGGTATGTGTACCTTGATTAAAATATCAGCAGCAAACAGCAGCAGGCAGATGATTTCAATGGCCTCCGTGACCCCACAGGGAGGATTCAGCCTACTTTGGTTGTAGCGAATGTCCGACGAGACCGACAGCGATGACGGGAACTCGAAGAATGCCAGCAAGTGGATGATGCATATTGCCATGTAGAGGCTCCTATATGAGACAAACATCGTTCATGTAGTGGTCGAAAAAAAACATCGCAAGGCGAGAAGATTGCAGATACAGTCCGACCTCCTTTATCCAGCCACGTCTGGACCGGCACCCATCCGAATATGGGATTTGGCCGGCTATGAGAGTTATGCTCAAACACAGCATTTATATGCAGTTCAGTAGGGGTTATGCATGTGATAATGTATTTACTCGTTGCTACGATTGATTATTTGTAACAAACTGTAGTGTTTTATGGTTTATATGAAATGGAAATAAAATGAAATCAAACAGAAATTTTACCACTTCGGTTTATGTTTGTTTCTTTAGTGCTGAGATCTAGGGCTGTAACAATCGATACACTCGCGGCGTTGTATGCCTAGGGCTGTTACACGTGCGCGGCAGTGGCGCCTTTGATTGAAGTACGGGGCTCGATCGATCGCGAGTGCGTAGCGAGGTAGCGCGTTTCACTAACGTCCGATAGTAAAAGTTGTCCGACGAAAGTTGTCCGGAGGCATAGCGGACAACACACGCACGCATGCACGCACGCACGCACGCACGCACGCACGCAAGCATGCACGCACGCACGCACACTTTTTTGTTCATTCATATAATATACAATGTATATATTTATTCCTTGGTAGTTTTTACAGCATCAACAAGTGAGTATGTATTCGTGAAATTAGCCTTAGATTAATAGATTAATTCGTATTAATATGGCCATATATTTATACATGTACATGTACATGGGCGTTTGCTCTTACAGTAAGTGTGTTTGTTTTGTGCATGTGATAGCTGTGCGCTCTTACGATAATCAATGTGTACATCGCGCGAGAATCATTGGTACATCGCGCGAGTTTTGAGCGAGCTTTGAGCGAGATTTTTAGGTGGAAATAAATGAAACAACATAAAACATACACTGCGAGATCGCGGCCGGTTAATAGAGATTTCCGGATAACGGATGGCCGGATAAAGGAGGTTGGACTGTATATTAATTTGCAGATAAAGCAACAATAACAATTGGCTAAAGAGCAACCCCATCATCTATTAGCTACTGCTTATGCTATCACTGCTCACATAAACCCAAGTTTAAATATGTAATCAAAATGCATTAGTCAGCAAACAGTGAGAACGAGCAAGAATCAGTTTGATTAAAATACTCTTGTAATATATCTATAGCAAGGAATAGAGGTGCTGCCTAATGCACAGTATGTTTGTAGAGATGATGTATATGATGGCTTACTTATACATTTATATGTGTATATATTATATATATATATATATATATATATATATATATATACATATGTATATATTATATCAGAAGTCTATCAATATTGATAGACTCCTGATTATATGTATATATATCTATGTTATAAATTTCGTCCCGGAGCTCATGACAATGAGTCACTAGATAAACGTGTACTACATAAGTAACGTACTCAATGCTTGGAGCTGTGGAACACTACGTACCACTGAACTGGCCAGGAATAGTACCAGCGGTGGAGTTTGAGAGACCATCTATCCACCCTGTGATGTATGGAACGATAGCGTAATGCATCCTCTATAAATGTAACTGCCTGTAGCACTCGCACATCGTCTAATAAATAAGTAAAAACTGCAAGTTTGTAAACAGCAACAGCAATTAACAGCAATTACACAAAACGTATTCACAAAGCGAGGTGTAATGTTCATCATACAAGAATATAGGTTCTTCAAAATTGATAAAGTTAACATTAAATATGTACTTGATCCTTTTTTTACCATTTCATTGATGTGAAACAAGTAATTCTCAATATCATTGCATTCTTGAATGGGGTCATAATCAAATTAGCAAAATAACCGTGTAAATTTAGTTACCTATAATATATTATTTCTATACATGGGCAATTGTCAAGTGACTGACGTCACAGTCTGAGAAGTTTTAGGTCAATTCAATTGATGTGGTTATAACCTGAAACACAGGCATCCTCGGTAACTCTCTAAATTATGTATTAAGCATAGGCCTACGTGTACATATATACCTAATGTTAAACCAGATGTCTTTTCCTGAATAGCAGCGTGACTGGGAATGTCATCATGACTGACAAACCAGGTTGTCATCGATGCAAGTCTCTGGGAGGACACGTGTTTGGCCGTTCTACCTCGCAATAGTGGCTCCGTCTCATCTTTGTCTCCGATAGCCATGATTTACAGTGAAGCATCATGAATGCATAATTCTGTGGCAATTAAACAAATTTCATGAAACATGGGAAAAATAAATAAATAGTGTGTAAATCAATATGAAAATATTTAGACATACATTACATTTTACTATACTGTAGTGTATACGGCACATACACATGCCATATGGACCCTGTACACAAAACCAATCGACTATCAGTATTGCTGAATTGTATAGGTTTTTGCCATGTGGGCCACTCATAGAACTGCAATCAGGAGGTGTGTCCCTCCACCTAGGGGGAGAGCTCGTTCTTGCTATCGGCGCCACGCGGGAATTATTAAATGCAAAAATGTGTATCCGCGTCGCCCTGTGCGCACGCTACAGGTTAAATGTTGAAACATTTGCTGCCTCGCAGTCAATAACGTAAAAGCTTTGATCGTATATAGACGTTGGTAGAAAGAAGAAAAACGCCAAGTTTCCTGCATAAAGTCGGTAGTGTAAACCCAGCTTAAATCTAATCTAAGGCTAATCTAATCCTATAGAGGGTTCCGCGCGTATCCGGACAACTACCCACTGAACAATTATCCACCGGACAATTACCCCCCAGACAATTACCCACCAGGACAATTATCCACCTGGACGATTACCCACCAGGACGATTACCCACCAGGACAATTACCCACCAGGACAATTACCCACCAGGACGATTACCCACCAGGACAATTACCCACCAGGACAATTACCCACCAGGACAATTACCCACTAGGACAACTACCCTCACCCCCGGACGATTACCCTAGCCCCCCCCCCCCCCCCACACACACCGTACAGTAATGATGATTCATCTAACGAACCAACTTCATGATTTCATAATTTCAACTTCAACATTCGCTGATACTGGAGATATTTTGACTTATTTGCGACATTTTCCAATACCCAATATTGAAGTTCACATCGGCAAGTATCGGCCTTCACCTGCGCATCAGCAGCGGGAGCGAAGCGCAGCCACCAATGTACACGTACATGTCTAGACATTTTACTCTCACATTCGACATTTATTCTCACATTTATTTTACGTGCTCACCTAGCTGGCAGTCGCCGCGTCGCGTTATTCTTGTAGTGTTGTTCTTTTGCTATTCTTCAAGTAAATTTATTGTTATTGAGATTGCGGTGGGCGTGCGTGCGTGGGGGGCATACCAACTGTATGCCGGTGTGTGCCGGGTCAAAGGTTATCTCGCCGAGTGTTGCGTCGATGTCCAATCTCCCAGCGAGCCACACCGCCTCGCCGAGTGAGCGACAGTGCATTAGTAGCTGCCTTTTGTTTGCAAGTTCGGCGGGGAATACTTTGGATTGATGGCCAAAGAATGGATAATCGTGTCTTACGTTTTAGTCTGTATCTCCGGATTGCTGGTGTATATACGAGGAAACGATTTCGCACGATGCTAGGCGAATGTACTGTGTACGATTTGAGCTCAAGTTGGATGAGTTATGCGTAGTAAATCGTAGGTATTATAAGGCTAGTAAATGACGAATTTCCCTTGACGATCTGCAGCCCGGATATCCGCGCGAAGCGCGCAAACGCCGCGCAGCGGTGACAATAAATCTTATTCGCTGCCCTATATGGATAAAAAATTTCCCCAGTGCCCTATGGGTACAGGATAAAGCCGTATAATCGGTCTATTGAGGAGTTGTGGCGATTCCACAAGCCTTTCGGCTATGCACGTAGGTCGAGAATAAATACAAATGCTGGTAATTGCTTGTTTGCTGGTCGGCGCATTTCCTTTTTGTCTAGAAAAGCGAGTTTGCATTTCTTGCGTTTCACGCCCTGAATTTATTCTCGTACATATGGCGTCCCATAGATGGCGCGACGAGGCTCTCTTCGAGGGATTTTCAAGGGAATTTTCCACACAAGGATCGGCGATTCAGCTTAGACTGCTCCGCGGTGAAGAGTTCCACACGCTGCACTAACTATAACTTTAGTGTAGCGAAAGATACTTGGCCGAGTTAAGGTCCGTACGTAGCAGTCTAGCTCCAATCGTGACGTGGGATTCAAATTATCGTAGCCATCTTAGTACCCCTTACGTTGATTGGCTAAGCCCGTTGATTGATGTTTGTTTACACTGAGAATTTCCACTAGATGTTATCTGGAAAAGCGCCTGGCTCCGTACGTGCGAGGTTTTTATCAACCTCTTGACCCCGCGCTGCCCGTGGCGACGGCACGTCCTGCGAGCACGTACGTGCTGGCGTGGCCGTGG